CTACTTCCAGCCACTGAGGGTGTCCACAGGGAACGCTGTCTCCGACGTGCTCACAGCATTCTCAAGGACTCCTCTCACCCAGCTCACAAACTGTTTGACCTCCTGCCCTCTGGGAGTCGCTTCAGGAGCCTCCAGACCAAGACCAGTAGACTCAGGACCAGCTTCTTCCCCACAGCCGTCTCCTTATTGAACTCTGTCCCCCGTTGACCCCCACTGCCCTCCTCTATGCCACTACACACACCTCACCCCTTCTCATAACACCGAAGTGATCTGTTAATTTGCACATACTCTACTCACAGAATACTACTCTACACATGCAGATACTGTATATTTATCTTTGGACTATTTACATCCATTGAACTGTTCACTCATGTAACTTATCTTCTTATTCTGCACTATTTCATTCCATTTCATCCCATTGTACTAGTGTTTTATAAGCTTACTGTACATGATCCATTACTTGTAATTTGAAACCATAGTCTGTTATACATTGTACATTACCCTACATATCTTACTGTAAATATCAATTGTACATATCATTGGTAAATTACTACTGACTGTACATACTTTGGGCTGCTGTTATTGCATTTCTGGTTAGATGCTAAACTGTATTTAATTTCTTTGTACTTGTACATGGATTATGACAATAAAGTTGAATCTAATCTAATCTAATCTTAGTTCATCACAGTCATTTGAAAACCTGCAGCACCTTTTGCCTCATCCGAGCAGGACGCACACAGCTAGACGTGGATCATTTTCAAAATAATATTTACACCAGGAGCTTCTTTGGTCATTTTCCAAGAGTGTGGCTGAATAACAGCTCTGGTAACAGACACTTCTTCCTCCTAGAAGTGGGTTTAGGGATCACAAAAAAATTCTCTCCATCTGTCTTCTTGCGCTCATTCTCTTCTAATATCCCATGTAAGAACTCTTGGCTGCTTGACGGGCGTTTCAGGTCTGCCTGCTCAAAACCCATGGTCTGAAAAATGCCGGACCATCTTTCTGAGTCTCTTAACTTTGTTCAAGCTATTGTGTTTTATACAACAAGCATGCATCTCCTGACCTTTCTCATTGGCTGTGCTAAAGTAGAGTGTTGGAGGGATGAAGGGGAACAAACTGGGAACCAGCGCTGGTCGCTCTTCTCGATCATCTTCTGCCCCCACTGACATCGGCTCCTCAACACTGAGTGAACGACAGAGACAGAAAGGAAGGAAAGCAGTGATCATCACATTAGTGGCAGACACCTGCATAGGATGCCAAGTTTACTAGATCTAGATTTTCAACAAAAGTCTTTTGATATCAAAGGCAAATTCTGGAAGAAAGACAAAATCAAATGCCTGCACACTGACTTCTTCTGATTCTCTGTAGCCAACAGGAACTGTATGCCTCCATTTTCATTAAATACATCACTCAACATCAACTGAGAGACAAGACGATAATGGAACTGCCTACTTGATGAAATACAGGCTCTATTGACAGACATTCCAATAACACCTTCTCTTTCTATGCACTGCAGATGAGTAAAGTGAATCTACAACAGTTATGATTAGTGGTGATGACCATATGCTTGCTCTCCTTTCAGCACCACACAAGACACAGTCTCCCAACATGATTAAAAAGTAATGCAGCTTCAGTTACAGTCACGGATGTCTCATCTCGCTGATTGTAACCCAGGTCGTGTGCAAACTGAATGGGTGACCGTTTGCCCTGTGTGTTAGTAACATGATGCCTGTGTGAATTAAGGGTTAGAGACACCAGATACTACAAGCATATTTTAACACCGAGCTTAAACAAACAAACGAGATCTTCTCCAGTGAAGGTCTTAACATTAACAGCAGCACACAAACTCCTGTAGCTCACTTCAGGAACAGTTCTGCAAAGCCAAGAGGACATAATTAATCTCAACAAAAGGAACACCTACAATGTAGGAACATGAAAGCTATGCAGCTTGTTAGCAAATCAGACTTTTCTCAGTTATTTGCAACCAAGTCCAATACTGGTAGATTCCTGAGCTCTTTTTTAAACAATATCATTAACCCCATTACAAAATTAAAGTAAAAAACACTCACATGACAATCATATAGGAAGGAGAGACAGGAGTGGATGAATATATAGGGGCTGATATTTTCCTCTTCCAGATCGGTTTTTCTTAATAAAGTCCTTCCACAGGTTTACAATGGCATTACAGCTGGACCAAGCCTACTTGCCACTATACTACGCATACAGAGGATACAGCTTTCAGGAAAGGGTGGGGGTGTATGTAAATGAACACAATCCAATCAGCTGGTAAAAAAAGGTGACAACAGCAGTCACCATCCAATCTGTTTTAGCAGAGAATCAGCTCCGAGTCTGTTGAGGCCTTCACAGCAGAGAGCAATATGGCACACAATGCAGCAGACTTTTCCACCACACTCTGCTGCTTTCTGCCATGTTTAACAATCCAGTGAGAGAGAAAAGAGTCCACAGGATCTGATGGATGTAGATTTTATGCTGCTTTAGGAGACCAGGCTTAGGTGACACTGACATTTTGAAGAGTAAGCTGTTTTCTTAACACCATAATGAATGGTCTGTTAAATGAACAATAATTATTTGAAATGATATTGAGAACTGCATAGGAAGAAAATGAACATCAATTCATTTCATCTGCACAGCAATGATTTATAAGACCACAGTTAAGGCTTATAAAGCAGAATATTTGTATAATTTGAATACTAAAATACTAAATTTGCACATTTCAAAAAGTTAAATAACAAGTAGACATGTACCATTATGATGGATACAGGATTCTCTGTCTTAATTGCTGAGTATTTTCAATACATCTCCAAAAACAATAATCTCCTCCTTAAAGAACCAACTCAGCATAATATCTTCAGATAACCAAAACAACTGAATTTTTTCACACGAGTGATTCGTTAATTCACTGTACCCAGGGCAATGGAACACAAAATGAAGTTCACAACCAGCACAGAAGCCCTGCTCCTCAGCAATATGTTTGTATCTGCCTACTTCAACTACCAGTGGAAGGGTACCAGTTCTTACCCGAGCACACGGGGAGCTCTGCCTTCTCTGTAGATCTAATGTAATATATGGTTCTGTGGAATAAACATCCTTAATTTGAACGTATGTCGTAAGTTTAGGTTTATTCCAAATCTCTTCCTTCAGTTGGTCTTTATGGATTTGTTGTAATTCTTGTTTAAATGTATGTATATCACACTGCAAGTTATTTATAAAAACATCTAAACCACAAAAAAATAGCAGCTGCTACTCTTGACCAAGGATAAATATGTGCTCTGTTCCAGTTAATGGAAGACAGAAAAACAAACTGTCAAAAACGTCTTAAAAACAACAGCGCTCTACAGAGTTTGCATCAGGTAGCATTTGTGTTGTTGTAGTGGTTAACCTACATTTCAATGCAAATAATATTTATTAAAGTGCGTTTGTGTGGGGCTACGTGTCTTACCCAGAAAGGAGCGCAAGAGATGCTGTGGATGAGGTGCCACTGATAGATGAACAGTCTGAATCATCTAAAGACAACAGAACAAAAGCAAATTAACTAATTACAACATCAACAAAATACATTTCCAGCTGACTAAAGGCAGCTTGAGTATGATGACGTACTCAGAGTATATGCTGTAAGTCTGCGTCTGCGTCTATATATTATTATCTCACCAATGTCACTGCAGGCGTTTTCCAACTCATCAGGCAGCTCTTCCTCAGCCCCATCCACCTGCATAACAACCTCTGGCCTGGAAACAAATAACAGTAAAATAGTTGGGATGAAAATGTGAAGGGGAAAAAACAGAACTGCATCCTTTGATTGAGAATCCACAATCACAAGCTGCTCACCCAGACAGCTGAGTCTCTCCAACCAGATGCTCCTCTGTTGGCCAAGGTGAGGAAGGAGATGGAGATGAAGGCAACATGGGGGCAGGCTGTCCCTGCTTGGTGAGGTGGATAGTGGAGATCTGAGAGGTCACACAGCTGACCAAGGTTCCTGTCACACACCCAGAGAGACTGTCACTGGCCATTTCTGGTTTCATGTTGTGGGAACTGAATCCTAAAGCTGTCATATACAAGGCAAGTCCATGATTTTCACAATACATGAATCATGTGTCTTATTAAAAGAAAACTCCCTGTTGAAGATGTTTTTATTACTTTAAAAAAGGCTAATCTTCACACACATTGTAACTATGATTTCCTGAATAAACTCCACATTTCAGTACCTTAGCCACACAGCTTTCTCTCATTGTCACCACACATTGCATTTTTTTTTATTTCAGCTGCATTCAGGAGCATTATCAAGGAGTTTTAAAGCAGTTACTATCACTATGTCCTCTGAGCTTAAGACACTGAACAGTGTTACTAGAAAGCCTCAGTATTATCTGCTCAAACTGTCTCATCTTATTTGTAAATATTTATGTATGATTTGTCCTGAAAAGCCTGATGTCCTTAACTCCCAAGCTGCTGGATCAATGATCCTTTGACAGGTACAGTACATATGAAGTAAAGCACTAGTCCTGATTACCTGGGATCACATCTGGCGCTGTGGGATGCTGCTCCTGCGTGCCACTGACACTGTCACTGAGTACAGGAGGCACAGCACCATTTGGAAAGGGACTGGCCGCTGGAGGACCGGTTCCTCTGCATGTTAACAGGGTTCTTCCCAGAGGAGCCTGAGTTTCTGGGCCCTGCTTGGTTGCATCTGGTGAAGCTATTGATTGGCATTTGCTGTTTGCATTCGATGCCAAAAGAGCTGGAGAACCACCTCTTACTATCAACTGACTGTTCAAATCAGTTACTGCTGTGCAACCGTTATGTGTCTGACTGCATTTTGTTGGAGGTTTAGCTGAATGGCACCTCTTTGTGCTTGTTTCTCTTGTTGCGCTTCTGTCTATATTTGTGCCATCAAGGCTGGAGGCATCCTTTCCTAGTGCTGCCCCCTGACATTTACAGAGAGTAAGGCATAAAGAAGGCTCTGACGGCAAGAAGGAACAGTCTGCAGCTTCAGTCTGGGAAGACAAAACAATGAAATGTCAGATGTGGAGGAGGAAGCCATAAATTAACATACATAAAGTTGACCTAATGTAAAAGATTCTGTCAGCAGCAACAAAACTGTTAATTACATGGACTGGTATTGCCATATTGAACAGACAGGACTGTTCTAAGGCATTGCTATTAAAATTTGAGCATTGCTCAGGCTGTATATTTCTGTCTGAGTTTGTGCAGTACGTTTTCTAATATAGCCCTCATGTCAAATTTCGTGGATAGCGTTGTCATGCACTTCATCATTTTAATTATTAATGAGCTTAACACTTTAAATTTAAGGAGAAACATGGATTCATTTACAAGTTAAATATTTACAAGTGCAATTACACCTGTTTAACCTAAAGCTTGACCTACATAGCCCAACCTGAACCTTAACCTGATTTCTAAGTTTCTGTTCTACCCGGCCTGAACCCTCAGGTATCAATAGGCCAGGTCAGGCTGGCCTATACACATTTTATACAAAACTACAGGCTCACTAATATTAGCTCCTCCATAGTGATATTTGGAATAACAATGCACTGTCTGACAATGAACTCAACATAATCTTGATATGATGATAAACACACTTGTCAATTCTCTGTGCTGGACCAGCTCTGTAATGCCGATGTGTGATGGCTGTTTCTAAATGAGCTCAAACCTAATTTGACATTTCTCTTCTGCAGCTTCTTGTTGCTTACAGACCATCAAATGCACAATACACTGACTGGTATCTCCATATGAACCCATCATTTTCCACTATATCAGTCAATACAAAAAGATATTCACTGTGTAGTGAATATCTTAAAAAGAGAATGTAAAAAAAACAACTTCACTTAAAAAGTGAATATCTTTTTAAGATCTTCACTACACAGCCACCATTCACTTGGTGGCCCAAGATGTAGGTGCCCAGTGGAGTTTTAGACAAGCAACAAGAGCTTGAAAAACTAACCTTAAACCCAATCAAAGTACAGTCAACTTTATTCATAATCACAATTAAAAACATCAGTTGATGAAAGTGCTGCACAGAGAATAACACTAGCAAAAAAAAGTCTGATCACTCTCTTCTTGAGTGAAGTCATCTTTTCATTTTTGGGAAACTGGTCCACCTAAACCTTTCTGTTGTGGCTTCTACACTGGGAAGTATCAACACTTACCATCAACTTGTTAGTGTACTCCAAACTACGCTGTCCTTTAATCAACAGGTCTTGATGACAAACTGACAAAAAATGCTCCAATCCTAGTGGTGTGTTGTCCATTGCAGCCCGATGTCTGTTCACTGCTAAACCATTTCCAGGTTGACCAGTTTGGAGTGACATGCATTTCTGCAGCTGGATATTAGTTCCAACTTGACATTTTTTCTTTTGGATGGAGGAAGGGTCACTGGTCTTTGTGAGGCTGCTACCAGACTCCTTCAGTCCTGCTGCCAGTACCTGGTTTGGGATTTGAATCCCATTATGTTGCTGTGGCAGGGCTAGAGATCCATTTGGAACAGCAGTGAACTGGCTCTGGGTGTTGATTTTATTTTCATCCCCACTCTCCCATGTAGAAACCCCAGATGATGTCTGCCTCAAGGGGGAAGAAGATGAAGTAACATTAAAGGAGAGAGGTTTGGCTTGGACCTTTTGCCCAGAGATCTCTAGGGAAGCCTGACTAAAAGGCACTTTAGTGGCTGAGGTTGTTCTGGCATTATTTCTGGGCAAGGTAGTAGTAGTAGGACTATCTTCATTGGAATAAGCCTGAAGCTTCGGTCCACCCCATGGGGAGGACTGGTTGGTAGGCATGGTACCACCAAACTAAGATGTTTCAAAGATATTTCTGAAGGGCTGAGTACAGGGTCAAGGGTATTAGTTGGGACAGGAATCAATCAGTTTGTCAAGCCTGAGGAAGGTTGTATTCCCTAAGACCCCCTGTTCCTCCTGTGCTGCTCCTCACTCAGCGAGAAGTTCTTCGGTGGAACTGGCTTGTGAGATGTCAGCTCCAGCTGAACAGTGTTACAAATTTTCTGTTAATTGCTGTAGAATGACTACAAGTTCTTGAAAAATCCTGACAAACACCACTCATGCCTGCTGCCACAGATGCAGTGACAGCTGTATAACACTTGGGCTTGCACCTGAGCTGCAAAGTAATGATGTAAGGTTTTAAGCCTTTACGTGAGGCTCAAACAGGCAGGCACTTAAGTTTTTCTTCTAGAGGCAAAGTGGTTCCCACATCGACAAAGTCTGATACAAGGCCAACGAGTCTTGATGTTATTAGCTGATGCACACTGAGCCAGAAGCGGGTTCTTTCTAACTACTTTGGAGATGAAATGTGACACTGCATACTTGGCTCACACTAGGGTACCAGGCCTGGATGAGAGAGAGCCGTGTCCATCGAGTGCTGGCATCATCCCCATTTGCTTCCCTGGAGGCAACTACCAGCTTTCACCACTGAAACTACACAACAGCAGAGGCAGAGTTAGTCCAATCGAATCCAGTCTTTCTTAAGACAAATTATCTCCATTACAGACACACCAGGCAACACCCAGCCGTACGGTGTGAAAAGCTGCACTGAGTAAGATTAAAACGATAACTAACTCACCGCATCTTTTAAAATCGCGGCTTTGTAAACTAGCTAACTAACTGAGTGACACGAGATAGCAAGATATCCTATTCACATTACATTTACAGTTCTCACCAGTAACTTGTCACTTTTCCTGAAGTTGAGTGTAAATGCCACAGGAAACAACGAGCGTAGCAGTTTCAGGTGTGTACTTACAAGACATGCCGCTTCACTGCAAGGCTACACTCATCATTAATGGTTTAATAATGGAGCGGAAATGACCGCTGACAATCGCCTCACGCACATCGTTTCTGTTTACCATAGCACGGCACAGATAGCATTAGCTTAGCTACAATGACCAACACTATACCAACCGTTATCAAGTGTTTGATAGACTAGGGGTGCCACAAATAAAACAAAGCCTTACTATCAGTTTATAAAAAAATATTCACATACCCAGTTAGTCCGGCATAATATCCCAAACATGTTTTTGTAGCTGGTCTGGCGAGCGGCTACACGTTACTTTCTTGTCACACTGCAGTGGCTGGCTGAAAAGTCCAAGTGACACATCGCCGCCAAAGATCGTCGATGTTCCGCCAAGCTTCGGGGTTCACATTTGAAGGAGAGCTCCCCCAATTGCCGAACAGCAGTCACAGCACCAAACATTAGTTTATGGCGCGCTGGCATCCAGGGATTGTTGCATTAGCGCCTCTTCTGTGCCTTCTTAACATTCAGCTGTGGTTCAGTGACGTGCGGTCAGGGGAGGCAGGTGAGGAAAAGAAAAAAAAGTTAACCATAAAATATAATAAATGTTAATATTTTTGTCGGCTGGTGTGTGTTGTAGGCCCTTTTGCCGTTCGAATCCGATGTTGAAGGATTTTTTTTTTTCAATAAAGAATAGCAGAATTTCCGTATGTCCCGTTTTGTTGAAACTCTGAGTTTGTTAAACCTCCTTCTTGAAACGGGCCCCAGCTGTCAACCTCACCGCACGTCACTGCCTGGCTCCTCCTATCCCTGCTGCTAATCCACTGACCCCTAAGTCCAAGTAAGTGGCTGGCTTTGGTCAAAAATCTAATTTTACATATTATTTGTTTCATGGTCTTTCCTCAGAGTTTTACATAGTGGTAATGTGTGCTTTAATCTGTTCTGTCTGTATTCCCATAGCAAGAGAAAGCGTGGGAACCGACAGGAGGATGGTCGACCTTATATGAAGAAGCCGCCAACACTTTTATGCTGTTCAGAAAAGAACAAGCTCTAAATGTTGTGGCTGAGCTACACAACAATAACAGTGCACAAGTGTATGCTGTTCTGGGACAGAGGGTAAGTGTGTGTGGTCTTTGTGTCTGTTAAACTTCATCACAATGCCAAAAACTTTTCTGCTTTTATACTTATTAACTTTCAAAGTCCTCAAAATTGGATCAGACATTTTCCTTCTTTTGCTGAAAATTTATTACAACAGAGAGCAAATCAAAATTAAAATCAAGGATTTCTAGCATTTCTGCAGAGCACAGATACACTGTGTATTGCATAGCCTGCCCACACTGATGTGGATCTGCACGTATCTGTTAACATGTTATATACACCCCTGTTTAAGCCTGTAGTGGTGTGTAGTAGTGTGTCGGTGTGTACGCTGACAGTGTGTTCTTGTGTGTCCACAGTGGAAGGCGCCGTCCAAAGAGGAACAGCCCAAGTATGATGAGGAAGCTGAGTTGGAGAATGTGCTCCACGTACTGCACCACCCCAACTTGTCCTCCAGGGACAACTATGTATGCACACTCTGCTCACACACCGTTCATATATTTATTCCCTTCTTTAGGTGATAAAACACCCTCAGTGAAAAAATCTTGATTATATCAGCTGAGATCAGCTGGAAAGTCTAACATGTTTGTTTTGTGTAGAACAAAAGCACAAAGAGAGTGAGGAGGAGGCCTCCCACCAAGCCTGAAGGTAAGAGAACAGTTCTGTGGGTCCCAGATTGTTTTCATGCAAGGTGTCATGACAATGTGCATGTGGCCATGGAGCACATCTGACTTAACCTATGTATAGGCCATATTTTTAGAGTATGAAACATTGTGACTTACCTACCTACTAAGCCAGGTGCTTCATTTGACTCCTGAAATATTTGACCAATGTGTTATCAGTTGAAACTTAAATCACACTTAGTGGAACTTTGATAAGTTGATTTTAGTGAGGAAAGTTTGATACACAAAGTAGTCGGTGGTGTCTGAAACTTAAGTCTTGAATGAATGAACTGTCACATGTTTCAAGATTTCTACATCTTGCTTTTCAAGTACATTTTCAGATGGTCTTCTGGTTTAATTTTTATCAGCTTTGCCTTTATAAGTGCACAAGGCTTCCAGGTTATTTTCAATTATTAGATTTTTTCTTTCGCCATGAGCTGGGGTCTCCAGCACATGTGAAGAGCACCCCACTAGCCAGAAGCTCACTACAGCTGGGAAAGACCCTTATATTCACCAGCACGTTTGGCTTGTTCTATTTCAGTCTATTTCAACAGCCACGTTTTTGTAATAATGATATAAGATGAACCAAAAGCCAGAATCTTTTTTCTTTTTTAAACAAAGAAAATACATTTTGAAGTTGGTCACAATAAGATTTTAAGTCGAGGCAGCTGTCATCTGACCATTTAACAAATTCAGCAAGAGATATCAGATTGGTGGCCCCAAAGAAGAGACAAGATGGTCGTAGATATATGGTCATAGAACATGACAAGAAAACTAGCTTCCTGAGAAGTCCTGCAGCTATCTGTACACAAGATAAAAGTAGAGGAGAAAGGACACAGCCCTGAGAAAATCCTGTATTTGAAGTAATGACAGTGGACATGTGTCCATTCACAAATACCTGCTTAGTGTGTCTTAAGAAATTCAAAATTAACAGTAAACTCTAATCAGATAACTACCCAGAAACAACTCACCCAGGCACAAGAACAACATACAAACTCCACATAGAAAGGCTCCGGTTGTCTTCAGGGTTCAGCCGTCTTGCTGTGAGGTGACAGTGTTAACCACTGAATCACTGTCCTGCCTTCTCTCTGCCGTTTCTTTATATTTCATAAGTTACTTTTTTGTAATCACAGAGTCTCTTGAGTAGGAAGGATGACTTACTGTATGTTCCCATGCATGGTGATTTTTTTTTTATTAGCTTGACTTAGTTCAATTAATAGACTGGGATCCCCAGTGCTGTTCCCCTCAAAAGTTGCGACTTGCTGTATACCATCCAAAAGGTACTGTTTAATAGAGGTGGTCTTGTATTAACCTTTTCTTACACATACACACTCCCAAAAATTGTATCACAGGTGACCCTGACTTCCATATGTGCACAGCCAAAATGCGGTCACAGCTCTCATGTCATCTGTTTGGTAGTCTACCAGTTCTAAATGCTTCTTTGTGTCATTTTGGTTCCTTCCCCCCATTTTTTGTTTCATAGAAACCTTGGGCATTAAAAAAAACCCTTTGTTAATGTACCTTAACAATAAATATGTCTGCTTTAGACCTGTGCAGCATCTATAAATACATGTTGGGCCAGAGTGTGTACAGCTGCATACATTACAGTCATGTGGGGTCATTTTGACTTTGCTTCATACCTGAGAAAGTACATAACTAAATATCACTTTGAATGGCTTAATATTGCACAATTCCTGCCTGGAATGAACTCCCCTACCTTGAGCACTATGTGCAATGAAACATAAATAGAGGTGGAGCTGGCTATGCACATACTGTAGGCCATATTTTACTGTAATAGTAGAATCTAACTTTATACAAAGCTGATTTGGATATGGTTATTGGAAATGGTTAAGTCAAAGTATTTTCACTGTAATATTTAGAAACTTGGCAAAATGATTTGAAAAAAATTGTCAAGTTGCATAAAATCAGTTTTTGTAAAATGAACCAAAATAATAAAGCATAATAATTCTATACTTTCTCACAGTTGCACAGCAGGCATATGGACTGCCGAACGTGACACAGGCCATCAGTCTTGTTGGGTCTTGTTCAAACATTTTTAATTCCTCTGGCAAACACATCCAACACACCTTAAGTTTTTGGTGAAATTGTCAAACGTATACATTTAGAAGTTTCTCTATATTTTTGTCTTTCCCAGCTGCATACATGAGAGGGCCAGAATATTAGGAACCTCTGAAGGTAATACAGCTCTTGGTTTCATTCATGTGTTGAGTCCTGACAGCTAGATTTAATAGGCAAAGAAATATAACAAAACAGAGATCGGTCAGGGAGCGAGATGAAACAAACTCAACAGCAACTAAAACAAAACCAGAAAACAAACCAAGAAATCTTGCTGACACAAAAAAACTCCAAAGAACAGCCCAAGGGTAACCAAGGCAAAAACCATACGGAAGACTGATGCAAAAACTTACAAAGCAGACAGGGTGTGATGCACAGAGAGATGTGGCAAACGAGGCATGGAGACCAGATGAACCAGCAACCAGACTGAGGGAAGGGAGGAGGATATATGGGCAGAAAACCAGGGGATAATGAGCAACAGGTTGAAACAATGAATAGTGATTGTGAATTGGGGTAAAGCTGGGGCAGGTGAGGTGACACAAGACAGGAAACTAACCAAAATAAAAGCACCAAACAGGAAGCAAAACTGCAAACTAAAACAGTCTGTCAAACTGTACCTGCAGTTACACTGTTATCCTTTGTTGGTCTGACAATTTAAAGGTAAAATATGTTTGAGGGCAGGCCATCACACAGCAAGTGTCTCAAAGATCTGTAGATAAGCAGTAAAAATACATCAGAGGCTGAAGCTGTCCTACTTACACACAATATCTTATCTTTCTTTTTCTTGTTGTTTACCTGCAGAAAAATGCAAATGTAGAGACAAGTCTTAGTATCAAATAAATGTATTTACCATATTCTTTATTGTGCACAAAGCATGTAATGCTAGCAATTCTTTCAGGAAATTGAAAGCAGAACAAATTTTAAAATGTTAATTTGTGCTTTATGCACAATGCAATAATTTGTAGACATAAAAAAGTGGAAAGATAGTAATGAAATGTGATGCAGTGCACATGATTGCAATCACTGCATAGAAGTGAATAAATACATTGTCAAAAAACATTGGTCTGTGCTAAAAGATCTGATTGGCTCTGTTCTTTAGCTAAAATGCTCCTTTTCACTGCTCCATCATTAACATCCTTTTCAACAAGAGCTGTCCAACCAGGCCTAGACAATGTAGAACAGTAGGGCAACCGGTTACACCGAGTGAGAATGCAGCTGCAGCAAAGCTTATTTTTCATCAAAGCTGGAAGATTACAGTGCTGGTAACATTTATGTGTTTACCTTAACTACGGAAAAACTTGATGTTGCAGTGCAGAAATAATCACAAGCATTCTGACACTGAAGCAAATATTGCTTTGTTCAGTCAGTGGCTCATGTTACTGTTTGTAACCAAACTTACATTAACTGCCAGTCAATGGAAGCTAAACTGGTTTTAGAAGACACCAACTAAAAGACTCATTTACAGACATGAACCTGACCTAACATGTTTTACAGGTTATGTTTTAGAGTGTGTCTTGTTCATCCATTCACCTGTCTCTTCTCCTATTCTCCTTCCATTCCCTTAATACAGCCCAGTGTCTCCTTCCCTCCATTTCTACAATGTCCACCCCTTTTGCTTCCTCTGAAACCAAGAGTGCTGACCCGTGGAGAGACTCGGTGCAATAGCCGAGGTACCTGTGTGCTTCCCCCAGGTGGTGGTGCTGATTTGGTGTGTAACTGTCAGCTGGGCTACGAGCCCGATTTCTGCCAGAACACAGTCAGTGGGTCATTAAAAAGACAAAGCTAAAAAAGAAAAAGGGGATGAGCCTGTTTATAGTTTAACTGAACCAGTCTGATTAGATACAAACATTTTCATGAGTAAACCACATTCATTGTTGGTTTGGGTCTCTCTGTGGGAAACACACCAGTCTTATGCTTAAATGAGTTTCTCATCAGGTTATATCATCAGCTTCTGAGAAGCCGGTGTCTCAGCAAGACACTAGGATTCTTCTGTCCAATCACTTTTACAGTTTCTCTAACAATATAATTGTTTCTAAACTCTGGTGTTTATGAATTCAATGGGATTATAAATAATTAACTAAACTGAAAGAAAAACCCGGGTGATCTTTGTCCTTGGCCATGGTTTATTGTTCTCTCTTATATAAGACTGAGGCTGTAGGATTTCTTCACACACAGGGCTGACAGGAGAGCAAATAGCATCTGACACCTTTCGCTTATGTGCGAGTTTCCATTTCGCAGATTGGTTTGTTTTTCACTGAGTTGGAAAAAGTGAAAACCGTTTTTCTGCAGAGATGTGAAAAAGACCTGCTGTCGTTCCTCGACCATCCTCCACGGACCATTCTCCTCCGCACCATTACTCCACTCCACCTTCCAGCCTCCATCAGCCAGGTCGGTACACAGTCATCAGATCCCATCTACCACCCACCAGCCAGACCGAGAGTGACCCTAGCGTCCGTAGCTCAGCCTATCTCATCATATCCATCCGTCATCTGTTATCTGCTAGCTGATCAGCACCCGGTACTACTATTTGTCGTGGCAAGAGTGTGATACCGACTAAATTAATTCAGACAAACCATTACAATTTAAAGGATCATTTAATATTACAATTATTCTGAATAGAGTAGTATTTAAACACATAATCTTGTAGTTAGGGAACAGAGATCAGAGAACAGAGCCTCTCCTCCTGCAATGTGATAGATAAAGCCTAAGGATTGTCAGAGCACCAGTCAGTCAGGTCATTGGTTGTCAGTCCCGAGTCAGTCAGCGTCTTCCCCAGCCGGCTGGGTCCCCAAAAGGTACATGGTCTTCTGTTCACTGCAGCATGGTTCAACTCTCTCTTCCAGGCTCACTCTTTTTATCAGCTCGGCAGCTAACTATAGCTATCTCCCAACAGCTGGACTTTGTCAGTCTTGACGTCCATCGGCCCCAACCTTCTCACTCCTCTATTCTGGGAACCCTCTACAGCCTTCCTGGAAACCAGGAAGCCTGACTTAATGCTCCTGCAAAGATCCTCACAAAAGAACAGGGAGTTTATCTCTGACCACTTACATAAGCCCATTGTACAACTCACATGAACTTAATGAACCCATAACCACTCAGCTCTCCCTTACACAAGCTAATACCAAATATGAGCTACATATTGTTCTATTACATATTTATTCTGGAATCTGGTTTATTGCTAACCACTACATATTCCTAGTTTGTTTCCTTATCACGTCACTTATATATATTGTACAGCACAAAATAAATTCTGCTTGCACTGAAGTCAGCCATCTGGGTCTGTTCATTTCTTCACTCACTCACTCACCCTCCAGGTGAGTGACTATAACATGGTGTTTAGCTTTCACCTGTGTCCTTACTGGGTCAAAATTATAATTATTAAAAAAAAGAAGTGTTTCTTCAGTGGGCATGAATTTGTGAATGTGACTGACAACTTTGGTTCTGATAACTTAATTCAGACTAAACAGTATCTATGTAGATGGGCAGTAAAACATAGTTCGTATCACTTCAGTTTCAATGACCACATAGGGACTGACGTTGTCAGCTGCTGCTATAGTCACAGTTATAGGAGCACCTCCACGTAACTCGGCGTGCAGGAGCTACTGATGGCTTGGCAAAAATAATGTGTAACAATGTGAATGAAAAAGAGTTTCAAATATAGATACCTCACCACTTCCTGCCTCCATGCAAAAATATCGCCAACATGCTGGCAGCCATCTTGCTTGTGATGCAACCAGATTCTGCACAGTAGTACCCAATGCAGAGCTGCAGTATTAGGCCACCAATCAAAGCTGTCAGTCATCCAAAATGCACCCCATTTAACCAAATAGCTTGGTAAAAACAAATATCAGAAAAATGACCACTTGTACTCAGATCAGTGTAATAATATCAACCCAAAATGACAGAAATCACCTTTGGTAAAAACTAATTAGATTTGTACTTTGAATGATATATTTCAGCTCATGTCCACTAACATGGAGGGGGTGGGGTTTCTGACCTATATTGCAACCAGCCACCAGGGGGAGATTGACTTACAGTGGCTTCACTTCTGGGACTGTCACATCTTTTTCTACGGTCTATGATAAAACTTAACATTTTGTGGGAATCGGTGACAGT